CATTCTCTATAATTTATGTTCTATATAGGTTTTTTTTAAATTGACCGTAACAGAAAAAATTCAAGAAAAGTGTAAATTTTAACAAGTTTTCAGTATTTTCGTTGACAATGAAAATATATAAAAAATATTTCGAGTAAGATATGTGTTTGTGGAAAATGTATGTACTTAGTTTATCCTCTAAACATTTACGAAGGCAATACACAGGTTCCTAGCAAATACACATTAATGGCCCAACACTGGCACAATACATGTGAACAGTACTTGAAGTCTCGGCCAAAGCATTTGTGTCAGACTACACTGCCGGCACCTCCGCGTCCAGGCGGCAGACGTTTTTCTGGCATACAATTCCCCGTCACTTGCAAATGCTGGGGTAAAGTGATTTAGAAGCACACAAGAATATTATCAATTTAGTACTGGAGAAGTAATCTTAAGATATTTTGTATTTCTCGTCTACAGTGCTTTTATAATACCTGTGGTGTACACAGTCTCGTGTAATTTACAGATGCCGAAAAATTGCTACAGAAATGCATAAATATATGTAACAAAAAAATTGCTATATACTGGATGTCTCATAAATAATGGTAAATATTTTAACCACGGGTTCAGGATCTTTAAATGATAATATTTTCCTAAATAACTCTGGGTCAAATGTTAAAATTTATTTTTCTTTTTTGCAATATTTTCGTTATTTAACGCAGCGGTCGGCAAACTGCGGTCCGTGAAGCCTCCTGGTGCGGCTCGCAAGATCTCACCGCAACGCACGTAAGACATACGTGACATATAGCACAATTGCGGCCCGCACTAAAAGCTCAACTTAAAAAATTTGGCCCTCCTACAAGAAAAAGTTGCCGGCCCATGATTTAACGTATTGACTTGAAATTTGGTACGGTTATATTTTTAGACTGGTAAATTGTATGTTATCAATTTTGAGATTAGACAAATACCTACACTCTACTGGATGAAAAAAACTTCATTTTTTTATTCCTGAAATGTCTAAACTTTTTCCAATCTTAATGGTAAATTTTTTACAGAAAACGTATTATTCATTATTTGACAGCTGTACATTTTTATATTTTTTTAAGCCTACTTCGTTGAAACTAAATAGATACTGCGGCTAGAAAATGTTAAATGATCATTTTTCGATATAGGTTATATTTTTGCTTTTAAAACAAGTATACTTTTTCGTTCAAATGTTCAGGATGTACGACAGTTTTGAAAACATTTAGAAATGCCTAGAATTAAAAATAATAACGTTCTTCATATCCAATAGAGTGTAGGTGGCGCCCTCTTTGTCTATTCACAAAACTGATAATATGCTTATGATTTACTAGCCCAAAAATATAACCATAACCAATTTTAAGTCAATACGTTAAATAGTAACAAAAATATTGCAAAAAAACAACACCCTATATCCAGGCCCGACGAGAGGGGGAAGGGAGCGGTAGGTGGGACACGCGGGGCCCGGCAGCTTTAGTCGAGGACGTTTAATTTTTAAAGTTCGCCACAAAAGGAAGGACCTGGTTTACGAAAAATAGAAGGTGAGGTATTTTAGATGTCACTAAGCATGTAATCTTGCTTGAGGACCTTTTTTTAGAAATGTCAAATAAAAAGGACTGCCTATATCTCAGAAGTAGATAACATTTGACCCAGTATTATTTAACAAATATGAATATGGTAAACATATTTACCATTCCTCATATAAAACACCCTATATATGTATATTTTTGATACACCTACCTGACACACATTTGATCAACTAGACAAACATCTTCAAGATACTCTCTGACTAATATTTTTTGTTGAGATGCGGTTGCATCTCGTTGTAGGTTTTGTGTTTAATTGAAGTGGTTAAGGTTCTCAAATGAATCCGAGATCAAAATCGATTTAATTCATACAGCATTTAGTCCTAGAGCCCCCAACGTGTAGGTTAGTGACTTATAAGAGGCGAGTTTCTGTTCTCGAACAGGTCTTGAATGTCCTTTATTTGGTCCTTGGCGTGAATTTATTTTACTTCAATTAATTATGGAAAATTGGTAAAAAATGGTTTAGCTTACTTTTATAACGGCATAAAGTTAATGCAATCACTATGACACATTCTTATTTAATATTTTGCGGTTTTAATATTATTTGCATTCTTTGACGGAGCCGATTTAAAACGCATTTAATGGATATAAATCAGGACCGTACACCAGATTTACCCCTACCTGTAAACTACAGTGCTTATTATTTTGTATTAAGCGTAGCCGTGCTTTCACAGTGAATATGTGGAAACTACTGCCAACCTCGAAGATAGCATCAAACTTCTGCTGTCAACACACTTCCGTGACTCGGTCATCACAGACGTGGCCGACTGGGCAGAGGAAGAATACAATCCATCTGTCTATGATTGGCAAACTGCCAAACACATTGTAAACGATGAAAAAATTAGATGGGCAATATCCAGCTTCTCTCCATTTAAATCGCCAGGACCTGACAGTATCTATCCAGCCCTACTTCAGTGGGGTCTGGAAGAACTCACACCGCACCTGGTGGGTATATTCAGATCCTCGTTGGCTTTGAGGTATATCTCCAATAAATGGAGAGAGGTAAAAGTGGTATTTATACCCAAACCTGGAAGGATGGATTACACTGTCCCAAAAACATACCGACCAATTAGTCTAACATCGTTTTCCATGAAGACATTGGAAAGGCTATGCGAAAGGTACATAAGGGATGCGGTGATTACAACAACACCACTACACCCAAACCAACATGCGTACACCTCAGGCAGACCACTGATTCAGCCCTTCATCTAGTTGCTGGCCGGATAAAAAGATTCATGGACAATAAGGAGTCCGCCTTGGGTGTTTTCATAGACATAGAAGGTGCTTTTGATAAAAACACCTTCCCAAAGATAATACACTCACTAACCAATAGGAATGTTCCACAAATGGTTAGTGGGTAGATACATAACATGTTCTCAAAGCGAGCAGTAAACATAAGTGTAGAAGATGTGAATATAAGAAGCTTGGTTGCGAGGGGATGTCCACAGGGAGGAGTGCTATCACCTCTACTGTGAAATATGGTCCTCGACACCCTTATCAGCCGCCTCAATAATGACAGTCACTACATAATAGCATATGCAGATGACCTGGTCATTCTGCAAACAGAGAATTTTGAGAACATACTCTGCGAAAGAATACAAGTAGCTCTAAAAATTATAGAACAGTGGTGCAAGGACCATTCACTGTCTTAGGATTCTAAGAAGACAAAAATGGTCCTTTTCACAAGGAAAAGGATGAAAATGGAATTAAAACCTCCAGAACTCCTAAACACAAAACTAAACTTTGCAACAGAGGTGAAGTACCTAGATTTCACCTTTGACAGCAAGTTAACATGGAACTCGCATTTAGAAAACAGAGTTAAAAGCATTGCTCTGTTGCCGCCGAACCGTGGGGCGCACCTGGGGTTTCTCCCCCAGAGTCGTCGCATGGACTTACACGGCTATCATAAGACCTACGCTAACATACGGTGCAGTTGTCTAGGTACCGAAAACCCAAACATTTACAGCTATCTGTAAACTAGAACAAATTCAATGTCTCAACACAACAGGAGCCATGGAAACAACACCGACCAGAGGGATGGAAGTCATTCTTAGTCTCACTCCCCTTGATATTTACATCAAGGATGTTGTTCTGACGACAATGACACGCCTCTACACGGTTGAAATAGTACCTGATGTAGGATCTGGTGAGGCGAGGCGTCACTTTTGGCAGGAGGCGCTTGATACGGTCCCACTGCTTCAAGCGAACATGGTTTCCATCTCACCAAGATATATCTTTCATAAGCCATATAAAGTTATAATAGAACAAATAGAAGAGCCAGAAGTGGCAGGTACGATTCATATCTACACCGACGGTTCTAAAACAAAAGAAGGCTCAGGATCTGGAATATACTCCAGATTCTTAAACCTAAACATAAAATGCGCTGTGAGCAATAGTGCCAGTGTAGTTCAAATAGAGCTAACGGGGATTCTCATAGCAGCAAAAGAAATAACCAGAAAGAATATCGCTGGAAGGAACATGATCATCTATACAGATAGCAGACAAGCACTACTCGCCCTGAACAGACCACGAATTTATTCAGGGTTAGTACTAGATGGATCAAAGGTCACGCCACATCGGAAGGTAAGCGTCTTGCTGATTCACTAGCCAAGAAAGCAGCCAACCAAATACTTTTTGGACCTGGCCCTTCTATTGGCCTGACAAACTCAGTAGTGACAGACCTAATTAAAGAACATTCCCTTGTGAAATTCAAGGAAAGATGGGATGAAACAAGAAACTGGAGAGTTGCCAGAGAACTCTTAAGTTATCCTGACAACACTGCAGCAAACAAATACTTGACTATGACTAGATAGAATCTGCGCCTAGTCACAGGCATTCTGACTGGTCATTGCCAAGTACGGAAGCATCTCCATATCATGGGGCTGTCAGAATCCGCACTCTGCAGAGGGGGCGAACAAGAAGATGAGACCATCGAGCATATCCTTTACGATTGCTCGTCGACACTCCCATTTTTTAGAAGATTTGTGTTCGGCGAGTATCGGCTAACACCGGCCGATATAAGAGAAGCACCTGTTGGCGACGTTGTCAACTACATTAAATCTGTAGGCTGGCTCACGAGCTAGGAGGTGCCTATTATCTCAGGAGGTTGCACAATGGGCCTAATGAGGCCTAAGTGCCGTGGCGGTAACCCACCTTCCACACGCTACAGATACAGATGTGGAAACTACGATATCCCAGCTATATCTATACACTTTGTTTTTTTCACTGACATTCGATTCAGCTAGTATCTCACCACCATATTTTAGCTTCTTATTCTAGTCGATGACTTGCTGTTTCCCTGTTGCCATTTTATTAACTTATATACTAGTCATATGCCTAACACGAAAAAATAAGTACTATATTGTGCCCATCATTATAAACAAAAAACTTCGAAAGGGCCAGAAATAAAACTCAAGATTAACAAAAACAAATCTATTAAATAATTTTAACATTTTTGGAAGTCAACACTTTTTCCACGATTTTCACCCGACCTTCGATCAACGTCTTTTCATCTTCGGGAATTTTATCGGTTTTGAGGTTCCTCAACAAGAAATGATGGATGAACAACCTCAGACTTTCCCTGAACAATTTTAATTTATCCGATTGTGACACTCTCGCGAATACGGAAACGCAACACTCCATGTCTTTATGTAAAAGAATTCCCAGCAGTATTTGGCGCATGAAACGCAGAGTCGTTTTGTCCAGTTCGCTGAATTGTACAACCTAAAAGAATTAAAATAAAATTAAGCAGTAAATTAATAGAAACAATTTAAAAATCGGCTTGCAGTGTTAATCGAATCCACGATCTTTGATATACCGTACCCAATACCTTAACCACTAGACCACAGAAATTTGAAAAATTACCTTAAGTATGGAAATTGGTAGACCCTTTTCTACGAACAAGTGTATTAACAATTTCGCCAAATTCGATAATTGTGGTCCGGAATGGTCACCGATGGCCTTCAATTTATCCCATATCGAATATTTTATAGTCAACTAAAAAAAAAACAATGATAAATTGAATCAAAAAACAATCTAAATCGCTTACCTGATACTTTCTTTCAAAATCACAGAATTTTTGGGCTAAAAAACCGTAATAGGGATTGTAGGACTTTTCCTGTAAGCAGCAATGCAAGAGGACGTTAATGATTTCCCTTTCTTGAGCATTCTTCAAACCCAATTTGAGGAGTTTTTCGAAAGCGTCCAAATAGTCCTGAATTCAAAACAAAATACAATTTAAATAAACTCTAGAAAAAAAAATCTGATGTGTCCAACACATGACTTTCCTATCTAGGTATTACAGGCTTTTTCCGGTTATTTTGTACAACCTATTGCAGCATCTCTATAAATGTTTAGAGGATAAACTAAATATATACATTGTCCACATACATCTACCGCGAAACATTTTTCTATAGATATTCATTGAAAATGAAAATACTGAAAAATTTAAATTTAGCACTTTTCCTACAATTTTTCCATTACGGTCCATTTTAAAAAAATCATGTATAAACAAATATTATAGAGATCGATATCGCAAACAACTTTTATTTCAACAATTTTCATAAAAATCAGAATTTTGCACATTTTGTCAAATTTTTCGAATACGGACCATTTTAGGAAATTTTTACTTAGAGCAAAAATTATAGATAATATTATTAGAAGTAACTTTTATTATCTATAGGATAAAAATTATAGAGAATTATATTACAAACAACTTTTGTTTGAACAATTTTTATAAAAAAAAATATTTTTTTACATTTTCTCAAATTTCTCGAATACGGACCATTTTAGGAAAATTTTGCATAAAACAAAAATTATAGATAATTATATTAGAAGTAACTTTTATTTGAAGAATTTTCTTCTCCAAACGTAAATAACAGATATATTCCATAAAATATAAAAATGACCACCTATAAAGTACCCCCCCAGATGTTCCGACTCTGCCCAAAATCTAATCAGCTCATTGGACGCTGAAACAAAGCTTAAGTTTAAAATTTGGTGTTTTTTTGTGTATCGGTTCATGAGTTATGCGTTATACAGACACACACACACACACACAGACACACACACACACACACAGACACACACACACACACACACAGACAGACAGACAGACAGACAGACAGACATCATCGCGAAAATAGTCAAAACGGATTCAGGGGACCTCAAAACGTAAAAATCTGTCGAAAACTCGAGGTCGAAAAAAATCATGATTCCTATACTTTCCTTATATCTGTATACAGATAGGAAAGTAATAATTATAAAACAACTTCCCAAAAATTAATTAAATAATTATGATCAGTATATTTAAACTATTCCCATACAAATCGTCGGATTACTCAAATATTATTGTAATGGCGTATCTAATGATAATTCAAATGTTTATGTTTAAATTTAAAAATGGTACATTTGAACTAATTTCTTTAAAATTCACTGAAACCGGTTAATTGTATATTAATAATTTACTCAAACATTTCTTGTTATTTTTAAGTGTGCTTAGTTAAAATAGTAAGACATTTGAACTACCTTCTTTAAAAGCCTCTTAAACCATTTAAATATATAAAAAATTTACTCGGAAAACGTTTTAAATATACATAAGTTAATATTTAATTATTGTTTAAATAAATGGCACATATGAACTACTTTATTAAAAATCTTCCAAAACTATTTAAATGTAACAAAAATTCATTCGAAAAACATTTCTTGTGATTTTTAAATATGCCTATTTAAAATGTAATAATTGTATGAACGGTACATTTAAACTACTCTTAGAAATCCTCTGAAACCAATTAAATGTATCAAATTTTTTCTCAGAAAACATACCTTGTGGCTTTTAAGTTTACCAGGTCAATTGTAATAATTGTATGAATGTTATAATTGAACTACTCTCTTAAAAATTCTCTGAAACTAAATAAATCAAAAATTTTACTTGGAAAACTTTTCTTGTGATTTTCAAGTATAATTAAATTGTAATAAATGTGTGACTGGTACATTTGAACTACTTTATTGAAAACCCTCTGAAACCATTTAAATATATCAAAAATGTACTCGGAAACATTTACGATTTTTAAGAGTACCTAATTAGATTTTAATGAATGAATAGTACGTTCGAAAAACTCTCTTAAAAATTCTCTGAAACCATTTAAGTGGATCAAAAAATTATACAGAAAACATTTCTTGTAATTTTTAAATATGTCTAGTTAAAATGTATCAATTATGGTATGATGGTACCTACCTATAAACTAATTTATTAAAAATCCTGTGGGACCATTTAAATGTGTCAAAATTTACTCAAAAAACATTCCTTGAAATTTTTAAGTTTGCCTACTTAAATTGTAATAATTTTATGAATGGTACATTTGAACTATTCTCTTAAAAATTCCCTAAAATCATTTAAATGTATCAAAAAAATACTCGGAAAACATTTCTTGTGATTTCTAAATATACCTAGTTAAAATTTAATAATTCTATGAATAGTACATTTGAACTACTCTCTTAAAAATCCTCTGAAACCATTTAAATGTATCAAACATTTTCTCGTAAAACATTTCTTAGGATTTTTAATTATGCCTAGTTAAAATGTAATTATTGCATGAATGGTACATATAAACTACCTTACTAAAAATCCTCTAAAACCATTTAAACATATAAAAAATATACTCTGAAACATTGGTTATGATTTTTAAGTGTAATTTTAATAAAAGTATTATTGGTACATTTGAACTACTCTCTTAAAAATCCTCTGAAACCATTTAAATGTATCAAAAAGTTACTCGGAAAAAATTTCTTGTGATTTTTAAGTGTATCTAATTAAATTTTAATAATTGTATAAATGGTACATTTAAACTATTTCGTTCAAACTTCCAATAAAGCACTTCTAAATCTTAAAAGTACTGTTCATAATTACCTCAGCAGACATAATTATGCAAAAAATATTCCTCCTGATATCCGTATTCATCCTTTGCTTCCTGGCTAGTTCCATTAATTTTGAGGAATACACCTCGGACGTGGTGGAGGATTTATCCGATTTCTCTCTATTATCTAAATCGTTTCCTATCCATGCGGAACCCACCACCCACCATCTACCTCTTTCATCAGCTAAAAATAATATGGACATCTTAAATTTTATCCTACCAACTACGCCAATTATATATTTTTTACATCTGTAACAATTTTTTGATTAACTCATAAACAGTTTAATTCCAAACTAACTGGTTACAAATGAAGCAGAAATATGAAGTTTAGGAATAGGTAAAAACGTATCAAATTAAGTTATTTTAAAAAAAATCATAATCTCTAAGTGTTATATAAATTTAAAAAAATGTAACAGTGTAAGTGAACGTTACAATTTTCTTACCTTTAAGTAAATCCTCTAAAGATATATTTAGCACCGTAACGTAATTTCCTTTTCTGATGAAACCCTTCATGACCTTCTTCAAATGTTCCGAGTACGAAACGTCGTAATTCGGAATTTTCGTCACGTTATTATTTTTTATAGCCAACAGTATATCCAACATGAATTTCACACGAGAGCTAAAAAATTAAATACAGTAATAGGCGAAATAGTTTTTCTCCAAATTTTGTTTTCACTTTTATGTAAATCAGTACAATTTTATCATTCAACACGTACTTATCTTTTTCTTCGTCCGTTGCCTCGTTCGCGCGATGCTGCAACTCCAAAATCAAATCCTTCAAGGCCAAAGGATCGTCCTTCCTCAAACCGAAACCGACCATTCGCAGCACGTGCAAAATACATTCGACGTCCTTCTCTTTAAAGCCGCCGGCCAATTTTCGCAACACCTCGTAGATTAATTTTGAATCGAACAATTTAAAATTGTACAATTGAGCGATGATTCGTACCGCGTTGTCGAGCGTTTTGTTTTCGACTTCGTGAGCGGCGTGCAGAGATTCGTCAAAATTTCTAACGATCCGTTGCAAGAAATGCGCCCCTGAAAACCATCAATAAATGAATCAAATAATAAATCAATTACTGAATCAATTAATATATCAATTGCTGAATCAATTAATGAATCAATTAATGAATCAATTAATGAATCCATTAATGAATCAATTAATGAATCAATTAATAAATCAATTAATAAATCAATTAATAAATCAATTAATGAATAAATTAATCAGTCAAATATGTATTAATTAATAAATTAATATACATTTATTGTCATAGTAACAACTTATAACCAAACACTTAAAAATATAATTATGCAATTCTAACAACAGTCAAATAAAATGTCGAAGTCAAATAAAATGTCAAAATTAGGTAAAACGTCAAAGTTAGATGAGGTTTATGTAACATTAAACTTGTAAACTGCATTTTTTAATAGTCTTACCTACTTCTGTGCCCACATTTGCGTGCAATACCGTCAAAAGAACAACATGTTCAATTAAGAGTCTTTCCGGTGAAAGAACTTCAGTTACCAATGAGTCCATGATCAAATTCGTCAACGTATCGTTCATATCGTTTCTGCTGTTGTTCATGTAAAGTTCCTCGATCTGTGTCGCTATGCCGTGCATGTTCGATTCCGCCAATCTGTTTAATAATCCTAAGAAACAAAAATTCATAAAAGATTAAGAGATAGATATTAAATTGATAGAAGATTAAAAATAATAAAATATTGATCAAATATTGATCGAATATTGATCAAATATTGATAGAGGAATGATATATGATTGATAGAAGATTAATAGAAGACTGATAGAAGATTGATAGAAGATTGATAGAAGATTGATAGAAGATTGATAGAAGATTGATAGAAGATTGATAGAAGATTGACAGAAGATTAATAGAAGATTGATAAAATATTGATAGAGGAATGATAGATTGCTAAAAGATTGATCGATTGATGAAAGATTGATAGAAGATTAATAAAAAATTAATAGATTGATAAAAGTTTGATAAAATATTGATAAAATGTTGATAGAGGAATGATATAAGATTGATAGAGGAATGATATAAGATTGATAGAAGATTAATAGAAGACTGATAGAAGATTGATAGAAGATTGACAGAAGATTAATAGAAGATTGATAAAATATTAATAGAGGAATGATAGATTGCTAAAAGATTGATCGATTGATGGAATATTGATAGAAGATTAATAAAAAATTAATAGATTGATAAAATATTGATAAAATGTTGATAGAGGAATGATATAAGATTGATAGAGGAATGATATAAGATTGATAGAAGATTAATAGAAGACTGATAGAAGATTGATAGAAGATTGACAGAAGATTAATAGAAGATTGATAAAATATTAATAGAGGAATGATAGATTGCTAAAAGATTGATCGATTGATGGAATATTGATAGAAGATTAATAAAAAATTAATAGATTGATAAAAGATTGGTAAAAGTTTGATAAGAGTTTGATAAAATATTGATAAAATGTTGATAGAGGAATGATATAAGATTGATCGATTGATAGAAGATTAATAGTTGACAGATTGATAGAAAATTAATAGAATATTGACGATAGAAACTGTATGATACAAGATTGATGATTAATAAAAGATTGATAGAAAATTGATGAAAGATGATTAATAGATAATGAATTAAAGATTGATGAAAGTTTGATAAAAAAATGATAGAGGAATGATAAGAGGATTGATAGAAGTTTGATGGAAGACTGATAGAAGATTGATAGATTAATAGAAAAATGATAGAAGATTGATGATAGAAAATTTATGATAGAAGATTGATATTAATGAGACAATAAAATATTGATAAATAATTGCTAGGAAGATTGAGAGAAGATTGATGTTAGAATATTGATGATAGAAAATTACTGATAAAAGATTGTTAGAAGATTAATAAAAAATAATGTGAGAAGAAAGTTTTATATCTGTTTTGTTTACCTTTCAATTGCTTTTTCAAACGGTTTAGTTTCTCCTGACGTTTTTTGTCCTCAGGTTGGCTCTTGTTCATTTGTTCCCTCATTGCTGGCGGAATATATTTCGACTGAGTTGTCTGAAACAAATAGTTCAAACCACAGTTAAAATTCACTTAATTTTTAATATTTCTGTTATTAATAAACTCGCCCTTTTTTTTTGTTATGTGCTAAACATTTATAGAGAATTCTCGCAATTTTTTTCGAGACAGCTGTTTAGATTTTAAAGCGTATTGCACAAGCGCACCAACAATCCTCAAATTACACATGAAATCATGTTAAATGTGGGAAAATAGTATTTATTATTTCTATTAAATGATTTGATAATAAACCAGCTACTTACACTTTTTGTAATAACCGTCCCATCTTTAGCTCTCAACCGACCATAAATGTCCTCCCAAGTACCATCAGGGAATTGTTTTACGGCTCCCTTTCGAATCTCTTCACCCCCATCACTGTTTTCTTCAAAATCATCATTTTCATCACTAGCTTCTTCAGAATTGTAACTTTTTTGATCACTCAATTCATCGACGCCATCTTTTTCTGCAATATCGCTATTTTCGTCTTCTGGAGCTGTCAATTTTGATTTTTTGGAACTTTTCTGAATTTCTTCTGCTTTTCTTTTAACCGATTTTGTTTCTATTGATGTTAATTTATCATTTTTCAATACGTTATTTTTTGAATTCGATATATTACTAATACTATCTTCTTTTTCCTCATCAATGCTCATTTCTTCAGAGTCAAAATCTACTTCTGGCTCTCCTGAATGTTCACTATTAATTGAATCATTTTCCTCCTGTTCATCTTCAACCTCATCATCATCGTCGTCTTCTTCATCTTCATCAGATTCGCTGAGAGAATCTTCACTGCTAGTCTCATCTGATTCACTGTCAGAATCTTCTTCGCTATCAATTTGATTAGATTTTTTGACCAACTTCTTATTTTTTTCAGGTTTTTTTCCCGACATCAGAGCCAAATCTTCTTCGAACTCATCATCTGCGTCTTCTAGTTCTTGATGCGAAGAACGTTTTAAATATTCCGGATCCACAGCTTCCAATAAAACTAAAAAAAAAAAATAGTGAAATTGTCATGGAAGACGTGAAATCGTATCGTAAATAAGATCTACTCAGGTTTCATCACATTTTTTTATAGATTCAAAATGCATATAACATAGCATATAACAGGGTTAAACGCACAATTGTTTTTGTAGATCTGAAACAGTCGTTTGAAACGATGAATTGATTGAAGTTTGTTGATGTAAAAAATAGAAAAATATGGTGTGCACTCAGATAGAGTTGGATAAGAATAGAAAATTTAACTTCAAGTAAAATATTAAGTGCTTGAGTTACCACAAGGGAATGTTATGGGACCACTATCAGTGGCGTAGCTCTCTAATAATTATAGATACATTACCATTTATATCTATAGTAAGCTAACATAGGAGAATATTAAAACATTAATAAACACTAAATATTCTGAAGCAAATGAAGTCATTCCAATGCCAACGTTAACCCAAAGAAAAAGAAAAATTATATAATTATTTAATTGTATTCAAATTCGTAATAATTTTAAAAATTCATGTTTTTTAAATGTTTAAAAATTATAGCACAAATTACAAAACGTGCTCAATGGAGATTTTTAGAGCCTATTTTGATTTTTACTGAATTTTGTTCCTTTAAAAATTAGTAGGGGAAAGTGGTATATAGTGAAAAATCGTATACCTACAGTGGGACAAACAGATAAAAGTAGAACAAGAGTTGACAATTTATTTACAAACTTAGAAAAAGAAAATTTTATTATAGATGTCAATGAGAATTTTATTTTGGATCACAGGGATACAACACTTAAACTAATTACCGATACAAAAAGTGTAAACGATGCATCTTTAAGTAGGCCAATGACTGAGAGGGCTATAAATAATTTTAGATCTGAATTAAAAAAGTTAAATTGGGATTTAAATAAATTTAATGAGAATGACCAAGCTAATATTATTGACGTTTCATCTAAACTGTACCTACAATGGTTTCCTGAAAAGAAGGTAATCAAAAGTAAAAATAATTTAGCAAACACTCAAAATGTAAGTTACATTAAGTCAAAGTTAGATGCTACTCAAGTATATTTAATTCTACGAAGTCACCGGAAAGCTTCGAATTATTATCGTTTTTAAAAAAAGAATACTGTGATATTTTTAATAAGGAAACAGTACTTTTGAACAATAAAAAAATATTTGAGTCTGATAATAAACAAAAAACAGCTTGGCAAATAATTAACACCAACTTGGACAGAAATAAATCTTCTAAAACCAATGTGTCTGTCGATGCAGATTTCTTTCATAGTGTAATCCACGATTTAGTTGAAAATTGCAAACAGTCTACGAATGTTAACAGCTTTATTAAAAAAATTCCTTTTAATAATTTATCAATATTTTTGAACCTCACAGATACAACCGAAGTCCATCAAATTATCAAAGATTTAAAAAATTCTAAAGCAAGGGATATTTATGGATTGAGTGCAGTTTTGTTGAAATCAATTGTTGATATTTTAGACAGTCCCATTGCTAACCTAATTAATTTGTACATGAAATCTGGAATTTTTTCAGATACATTTAAAGTATCACGAGTTACCCCTGTTTTCAAAAAAGGGGACATGAATCTACCATCTGCTTACAGACCTATTTCAATTATATACCAATAATAAGCAAAAATGTTGAAATAGTGTTAAAACAACGAATTATGAATTTTTTGAAAGCAACAAGTTGCTACGCCAAAATCAATTTGGTTACAGGGCAAACAAATCAATAATTAACGCAATATGTGATCTCTATGAAGCTGTTACGGATGATTTTGAGGATCGTTCACATAGTACTGCCAGATTTTATGATCTTACGAGAGCGTTAGATACGGTTCAACATGACATTTTATTATTAAAATTAGAGAGATATGTTAGAGGGACACCATTACAGCTCATTACCTCTTATTTGCAAAAAAGAACTCAATATGTTCAAATTGATGGCCTTACTTCGGGCAAAAATTCAGTATTGTATGGAGTTCCACAGAGTTCTGTTCTCGGACCCTTACTTTTTATCATTTACCTTAATGATTTGTCAATTAATCTAAGTAATATCATAAAGGTGAATTATGCTGATTATTCAACATTGACAGAAAAAAATAAATCTGATACAATAGAGAGGCTAAATTAAGCAGAAGTTATGTCAAATAATTGGTTTGGTAGCAATGGTCTTACATTAAAAAACTCAGCAAATGTCATTTTCTATCATTGCTAAAAGTGGGGAACAGGTTAAACTTTTAGGAATATATTTAGACCCGAAACTAGATTTTAAATATCACATTCAAAGTTTACTAAGTCGTTTAGTAAAAGGTACTTATGCAATTAGACAGCTAAAATTTCAATTAGACATTGTACATTTAAAAATGGTCTACTTTTCATTATTTCATAGCATTATGACGTATGGGGTTATACTCTGGGGAAATACAAGCAACCAACTTAGGGTATTTATTGCACAAAAAAAAGTAGTATGTATCATGACATCGAGTAGCTACAATAGTCACTGAGAACCTATTTTTAAACAGTTGGGTATTTTACCACTACCATGTTGTGTTTTATTTTAGAGTGTCTTTTATACATAAAAAACAAATTGGTAATAATAATGTTATAAGACAGAGCTTTAAACATTCTTATTGCGCCAGATGAAATTATGATAATATATATCTTTACCTAATTACAGATTAACCAAACTTCATGATTCTTATAGATATATCAGCATTAAACTATACAATTCCCTACCTCAAGCTTATAAAAACTCATCTTTTAATTTATTTAAAATAAGAATTCTCAAATTTTTGTCGAGTCACTGCTTTTATTCCATTGATGAATTCTTATCACATGTGTCCATCTGTTCATGTGAGTAATGTGTAAACCTTTTTGGTGAATATACCTTTTTAAATTTTATCTTTTTTGTTAAGTATGTTTTAATATGTTATTTGTATGTGTATCTATATATATTTTTTTAGCTAATTTTTCTAAATTGTGACTGTATTTTCTGTATCTATACCCATATATCTTTTTTTTTATACTTTTAACATTGACACATGTAAAATATTTATTTTATTTTACATCAATAAATCTATCAAAGTCATCTAGCGCCTTTCATTGAACAGTATATTAATCATATATCCGTATAGTGTACCTTTTATGCCAACCAAATTATGATCAAATGTATTAATCACAGATTTTATATTTATCGACACTGCAATATGGCGAAATCTCTTCCTCGTCGTGATTTGGTGTAATTGTTTTTTCTGTGTTTTTATAAAACTGTATAGAGGTGTTAAAAATTAAAATCAAGACTAATAATACTACCTGTGATTGAGGTTAAGCTGTTTTTAAGATATACATCCTCAATTGGAGTTTTAAAATATTTTGCAAAACAAAAAATATTTTTGCAATTTCAATTGTTTTTTTTTTTTATTTATATTTATGAGATCTCTTAAACTTCAATATTAATTTTATACTATCTGGGTCCATTGATACTTCTAAATTTAGTTTTAATCCAGCCTCATTCAGTTCTTTATTTTGATTTATTATTTTTCTGAAATTTGTGAAAATATCGTAGATCGCAAATCAAAATCCGATAAGTCAGAATTATCTAAAATAAGTTGTAAATAATTTGAAAATTCAGAAACAAATCTCAAAAATCCTCCTACGAATTATCAAGACCATCCCCCAACCTCAAAGGTGAAAACAAATACTGAAAAAAAGCCTGTCGTCACCGAGATTCGAATCCAGACATCTTTGTCAGGTACACAAAGGCCCTTACCTCTACACCATGACGACACTGACTGTCGAGATTCCTAGACGGCAATTTGATATGTTAATTCGGGCCAGACGCAATTTCAAGCTTATTCTCAAATCTCCAAATACCTATATACAGTATCGCTATATATGAGAAATACAATGATGCATACTAAGCCCATTTCTTCGTCTTCAATGTACTAATTCGGGCCTGACATGAAATTGTATTCTCTACAAAAAATTTCCTATTAACTATACCTGAATTTTGCTTCGTTTTCGAGATATAATTTAAAAACTGTAAGAGTTGCATCATCATCCCTATTTCCCATTTATACCCGCTAATTTAATAGCACTCTGTGGTTTTTCACTTTTAATGACCATTTGAACGATTCATTGGATTCATGATGGTGACTGTTCTTTTCTACATAACATAATCAATAGCCTATAGAGTTTAGTAAAAAATTCGTTCAAAAATTTAATGTAAAATGTAACTTGATTATTTTTTCCAAGGTAGTATTAGACAGCTGTATATTCTGGATAAGGGAAGAAAAATCTATTTTACTAAAATATTAGCGGCAAAGTTTGTAAAGTTTATTGTTAATGCTCACATACACAATAATTTGATACATATTAATCCCTTTGTAAGTGACACCTCTAAATTTACTAATATAAGCCAAAGTCTTATTATAACGGTCACTGCTCCAGTCAAGCTAAGATACAATGCGGTGTTCCACAAGTTCTAGGCCCCATTTTAGTTTTTTACTTTATTTAAATGACATAGTCAATGATAACATTACTGGATTTTTCACTATTTTTGCAGATGATACTAACATTCTATGATCTGATGAGAAGAGCATAGTTTTGGAAGCTAATATTAGCACGTACATTGTAAAGATCAGGAGGTGGCGTGAAGCCAATCATTTATTATTTAATATTGTATGTTTTAAATGTAAACTATCAAACATGTTTAGGGAAGATCTCAGAATTAATAGTAGTTTAGATAATAAATAATTTTATTGAATATTTTTAGATATTTTCATTTTTAAAGGATAAATTTTAGTAGTCAATAACATAATAGATACTCTAATATACAGGAAAAAATCCTGTGGGGGCGATAGTTTATTTTATTTACAGGCAAGCCCATTTGAGAAATAAATTACAATTTTAAAATTATAATTAAAATGTAGTGAAATATATATGGTGCTGAAATACAATCGTGGTATAATTAATTACATATAGACTAAAATAGG